GGGTGCTGAGATGTGTACTCTGCCCATGCATGTACACACGTGTGCATACGTGTGCACCCTTCTGAGGCCAAGCTGTCCTGCAGGGCAGGCCAATGGGGGGGTGTTACTCGCTGGCGTCTGTGCGTCGCACAACGGAAGTCACACAGCCACGACCCTGTCACACTGGAGTCGCGGCCCGGCAGGCACTCGCTCTGCACAAGGCGCTTCCTCCTCTCCGTGCCAGGAGGAAATAGGCGCAGCATGGTCAGAGGTGCCCAGGTCACGCACAGGCGAGGTGACGCAGCCAGGCTTCCAGTGTGGCCGGGCCCTTACCCAGGACACCGGCCTCAGCAGGGCACGCCCAGCCCTACACTCACACGCATCTCGTCTGGGCTCGCTCTCTGCAGGGCCCTGTTCTCTACGGGGAGGGTCAGCGTAGAACCCCGACCTGCCTGGCCTGCTGCTGCCGTTTCCGAGGCGAGCCGGGGCTGGGTTAGCACACGGGGCCTGGGAGCCTCAGGAAGGCAGGCTGTGGACGAGGTGCTACAGAGGCAGAAGGGTCCCAGGGACCCAGGGCGTCAGGCTACCTGAGCTTGGGAGGGCTTCCTGCGGGAGGTGACAGGGCATCCCAGGCAGCAGCAGTGTGGATGGGGGCCCAGAGGCTTGGTGCATGCGGGAGCTTTCTGCGGCCTCCTTGTGTAGCCGGGCACACGTGTGCCCACGAGTGGGCGGGCTGGGGTTGGGGCTGGTCACGGTGTCAGGGCCCTGGAGGGGGATGGCCTCTGTCTCTCACTCATGGGAGGGATACGTAATAATAGCTGTTGAGTGAGGGCACGTAACAGATCGCACCTTCTCCACCTGGCCTGCTCGGCTGGGCTCTTGGCCTCACCTTAGAAGACACCCTTGCCGTTGCAGTGGGCATAGCCCCCATCTGAAAGTCCGTGCCTGTCCAGGGAGCGTGTTCTAATGGGAGCCACAGAGGCAAAGCGGCGTCTGGCCAGGCCAGGGAGAAGGGGATGGGAGGAAGCTCGTTTACGTGACTAGTCGGACGCTGTCCCTCCTGCTCTGCCCTGCTGCCTCTTCTCCGTAGCTCTGCCCACCCGAACCCTACGAGAGAGCAGGACTCAGGCCTCTGGTCTGCAGCACGAGCCCCAGGGCGGGGCGGTTTCCCTTTCGGTCACTGATGGACTCCCAGTGTGGAGAGCGGAGCAGGCTCCTAGCGGGCTCTGTGGGCATCGCTGAGCGGTCCCTGTGCTGTCCCCTCCCAGCTCAGTGTCCCCAACTCCTTCCTGCCCAGGTTCTCGCAGTCAGAGAGGCCAAGTGTGAGGCGGCCACACAGCTTTGGTCCTGCAGCAGGTCGGCTAGTCCCAGGTCCTGGTCCCCGCAGGGGAGCCGGAACCCTGCCTGCACCTGCTGCTCGCAAAGCTGTGGGCTTGCTGCTATTATAACCCCTGTTTACAGAGGGAGCTTCAGAAACTTCCTTCATCCATTCAAACGCAGAGTACAGCTCTGCGAGGTGCTGCTGCAGAGCTGAACCCAAGGTCATGCAGCTCCCCACCTCCCAGTGGGGCCCTTCCCACTGCACCCCAGGTCTGCACGGGGGCGTGGGGCGCCTGGGTGTCCAAGCACGCTGCATCTCCCCAGAGAGGGTTAGGAAGCCGTGGAGGCTGGGTGGCGGGGGAGGCCTTGAGGGGTTCAGGTGGATAGCCAGGCAGTTCAGGGCTGACAGGCCTTGAGAGGTTCCCCCCCACCCCGCCCCCAGCAGGAGCCATCTAACCGCCCAGAGAGGTGCTTTCTCTGCCTCGGGCACCCGTGCATCGCGGCCCAGCTGGGCGGCCCGTTCTCCTGGAATGGGTGCATGGTGGCTGGCTCCTGCGGACGGCTTGGCCTGGGGGTGGACAAGAGCTCCTCTTCCTCGGCATCGCTTCCATGTACAGTGAGGAAGCAGGGTCACGGCTGGCCGGGGCAGGCTGAGGCCCTGTCTGCAGCTCGACCACGAGGGCGTGATTCTCGAGTGACCGGCTTGACCTGGGCCACGTCAAGGGCTGCTCCTTGGAACTGGCTGGGCCACAGAGGGAACACCTGCTCCCCACCTGGACCGACCTGGTTTCACTCCACGCAATAGCCCCTCACGCTGCCTAGCTGCCTCCTCCGGGTGCTCAGCTCTGACCACACCTGTGAGCTGGGAGCACCGTTAATTAACGTGTCTGCTCTCGGCTCGGCTGGCGGGCCAGGCCCTGCCCTCCCGGAGCCTCGCGGAGAGGAGCGGCCGCGGCAGATGTGTGCTTGCCAGCTGCGGCAGTGTGATCTGCTGTGTCCACCCCTCCCTTGCGCTTTGACGGAAGACCCCCGGGGCCTCCCTCTGCTCCGGCCGCAGTGTTTGCTCTGCAGCTTCCCGGCTTGCCCTCTGTCCTGCCCTCACACCTTCGGCAGGTTCTAATCAGGCTCTTACTTGTTTAATTAAAGATCTATCTCGGGGAAGTACAGGCTAAATTAGGAAGCGTTCTCATTCCTGGAAGAGAGGGCGGCCTCCTCGGGGAACCGGCTGGGACGTTTGCCCAGGCTGAGAAGTCACGGCAAGGCACAAGGGGCGTTGGTGGGAAGGAGGCCGGCCGGGGTGCAGGCCCCTCACTGCCCTCCGCAGGGACAGCCACGCCACCCGCCCTCTGTCCACGGGCCAGGGCTCCCTTTCTAGCCACAGCTCGGCCCTTCTCACAGGGCCTCCCTCCAGGGCAGTGTGGGGGCTCTGGGTCCAACGGCCAGCCAGGCAGAGCCTACCGGACCTCGGGGTACCACGGACCAGTGGGGCACAGAGGCCCAGGCCCAAGGAGTCAGGGAGGGTGTAGGCCCGGGCCGCTCTCTCCTGGATTAGCGGTTCGAGTTGCCCCCAGTTTGCATTAATGGCTGACGATGACACCCCTGCTCAGGCTCCTTTTCTGCCTTTTAGGGATCCTGCCAAGGGTACCCTACTGGGCCCCAGAAACTTGGATGTGAGCAAAACTCAGCTCTGGGCCCACGCTGTGGAGAGGGTGGGGAGCGAACAGCTTTGAGAGGTGACCCAGGATAGAGGGGTCTGCTCAGACGGGTCCCAAGGCCCTGCTCTGAGATGCTTGGCTCCCAACCAGCCAGACGAGGCCTGCTGGTACCTGGGACCAGGAGCCTGGGCCGGCAGCACTGGCTTGGGCTGGAAAAGCGAGTCAGCTTTGAACCTGGGCGAAGCTGGTCACCTCCTTTGAGTACCCTCCCCCCGTAGCACGCGGAGTGTCGGGGGTGTATACGTCACTGGGTTTGTGACATGGGGCAGTGCAGGGAGGAGAGAGTGAGTGTGCTGTCAGGTCTGACTACGAAGCCTGTGGTTTCGGCCCACGTGGAGGCCGAGGAGGGAGGAATGTAGGCCCCTGTCCTTCCAGCCTTCTCTGGCCCACCCAGAGGGCTGTGAGGAGGCAGGCCTGTCCCAGAGGACGGGGGCTGACCGTCTCTGACGTGGGCTGACAGTCTCCGACAACGTGGGCTGACCGTCTCCAATGACGTGGGCTGACCATCTCCGACGGGGGCTGTCCTTCTCCGATGGGGGCTGCCTGTCTCCAACAACGTGGGCTGACTGTCTCCAACAACGTGGGCTGACTGTCTCCGACGTGGGCTGCCTGTCTCCCAAAAAGCGGGCTGACTGTCTCCTACGCGCGCCGATGGGGGCTGCCTGTCTCCAACAACGTGGGCTGACTGTCTCCTCTGCGGGGGGCTGACTGTCTCCGACGTGGGCTGCCTGTCTCCAACAACGTGGGTTGACTGTCTCCGACGTGGGCTGCCTGTCTCCTGAGTGGGCTGCCTGTCTCTGACAGCAAGCTCCTACAGCCCAGCATGGCTCATCTGCGCTGGCATGCACGATCCTCCTTCATCAGCCCCACACGGCACGGCAGGCCGCCCTCAGCAGCCCGCTCACACGCGCAGGCTCACTGCCGGCCCAGGGGCCCTGCACCTTCACCCCAGCTCGCTGTCGCATTTCCTTCACCGCAGGCCAGGCCAGAGGAGACTCCCTCAGGTCATCCCAAGCCCCTCTCCCAGCCCGAGAGACTGAGGACGGCCCTCGGCCTGTGTGCTCCGTGATGGTGAGCTGCCCCGTGTGGCCGGCCACGTGACTCGGAAGCCGACCCCAGTGGCTTTGTGCTTCCTCTGCCGGCAGGCAGTGCCCACTGTGCGCCCTTCCATGCTGTTGAGAGGCAGCTGCTCGTGCTGCCCCCACTGCAGACCCACAGGGAGGAGGTGCCCTGCCTCACTGGGGCAGCCATCCCTGGCCACATGGCAGCACCAGGGCTGTGGTGGCACGTGGGGAGGGGCTAAGACCGGTGTGAGCTGCTCTGGGAGCCCTGGCTCCCCAGTGTACCACTGAACCCCGTCCTCAGGACCTGCTTCGAAACTGGGCAGTTGAGGTCAGCGAGCCCAGCCCCCTGACCTCGGGCTGTCTGCCTTACTGAGGCAGGGACGGGAGGGACTCTGTAGGGAGACGTCCCAGGACATGGGCCTCCAGGGAAGCTGGGACGAGGCAAGACGGGGTGAAAGGTCTGCTCTGGAAAAGGGCCTGAAATGCGTTCCTGAGCCTGGCCGGAGGTGCGGCCACTTGGAGCTGTGAGGGCAGGAGGAAGTCTCTGCTAACCCTCCAGGTGCCAGAATCCGGTCGGGGGCCAGGCTGGGCGTTGACTGCAGGCACAGACAGCTGTGTGGCTCCAGGGGCTAGAGTGGAGGGCCTCGCGGCTGCACTCCCCTCTAAGGCCCTGCCTGGCCTGGTGGCCTGGATCCCAGAGCGGAGTCCTGCCAGCATCAACGAGCCCCAGGTGCAGCCCACAGCCAGGCTCCTCCGACTGCCGGGGCAGGAGCCCTCGCTCGCCCCCTCTGGTAAGGGGCACGGAGCTATGGGGTCCAGAAACCTCAGCCCGGCAGCTGTGCCCCAGGGCGAAGCCCGCGGCATCATCACCGGGGCCCCAGCCGGCTTGCAGCTGCTGGTCCCACGTGGACGCGGTTCTTACCCAGGACTGTGAGGCGCGCAGGGCGGGAGCGGAGGGCCGCCTGGATGGCCTGACACTCGTAGACGGCGTCGTCCTGCAGCTCCGCGTGGACGATCTTCAGGTGGTGCTCTCCCGACAGGGGGCTCCCCACCACCAGGTACTGCGGGTAGCCTGTGGGCAAGGGTCAGCAGGAGCCGCGGGGACAGCAACCACCCTGCACCACTGGCCCCCTGGCCCCGCCAGCGCGAGCAGCACTGGAAGAGGCCCCAGGGAGGCCGAGGGGCCTCTGAGCGGGGGACAGGGAGAAGAGGGAAATGGAGGCATGGGCCAACCTGGCTGGGGTCACTGTGGGGGTCACTGTGGGGGTCACTGTGGGGCTCTGCACTGGGGCTAGCCCCGGAGGCCTGGGCCGAGAACCACAGAGAGTGGGGAGGGGAGGGAGAAGTGGGGAGGCAGAGGGAGAGGCGGGCCCAGGCTAGAGTCACAGACAGATGGGAGACAGAGGGAGAGACAGAGAGAAGAGAGATTCTTGGAAAGAAGCGAGGGTGACATTTGGGGTGAGGCTTTGCCCCAGGTGGGCAGGAAGGAGAAGGCGAGGCCACCTCCCCAGCGTGGGACCGTCGGCCAGCCCTTCTCCAGCCGCCTGCCCCGAGCCCCGGGGCCTGGTTAAGCCTCAGAAGGTGCCAGGTCACAGGAATCTGTGGCCCCTTAAGCCACTGGCGGGAAAACAGACACGTGAAGCCCGAGAAGGTAAATCTCTCGCGAGCCTCCCGCAGCGAGGCCGACCACTGAGAATGGTTGCCTTTAGTCGTGGCGTCCCCGGCTTCCTCCCACGGCCGCCCGCGCTTGTCCCCCAGCTCCCGAGCTCTGCCCTCTGGTGCCCTGCCTGGCCCGCGCCCTCTGGGCTGCTGCCCTCTGCTCCCGGGCTCTCCGCAGCCCGGGACAGCCCCTCACGCGGCCCCTCCCCGCACCAGGACAGCAGGCGTCCTCCGGCCAACCAGAAGGGAGGGGTTGCCCACATCTGGCCTTTTAAAGAGCAGCGGGGCTGAAGCCCGTGACAGGCAGGGCAGGGGCAGGGGCAGACGTGCAAGAGCACGTGGAATGTGCAGTGTCACCATGGTATGGCAGTCGAGGTAGCCAGGTCCCTCATGGCCAGCCACGTGGCTTGGTAAACACATTGGGTGAGTGTGCATGAGCGCCCGGAGTCCGAAAGGCTGGGGGACAGGGGCTGTGGTGTGAGCACATTTGATGGGGTGCCTCCTCCCTCTGTCTGTCTCTCCAGTGAGTGTGCTCATGACACACTCAAACGGCCAGCCCATAGCCCAGCAGCCTAGTACCATGGAGAGGGGCCACGTCTCACATGGCCGACCCTGGTTTGACAAAGCATGCCCTGTGTGCGTGTGCATGTGCACACACGTGTGCCCCAGGCCCTGACGGGCGGGAAGTGGAGGACAAAGGATGCGGTGGCCACACTGTTCCCACCCTGACCAGTGCACACGCCCTCTGGCCATGCCCAAGTCTCTTGGTGTGGGCCGGACCCAGCCACGTGACCCGAAGTCAGCTCCAGCACCATGGGCAGAAACCATACCAAAGTCCACCAGTGTGCCCTGCTCTGTCCGGTGTCCAGCACAGGCCGGGGCTGCCAGGAGTGGTAGTGAGTCCCCTTAGCTGTCTCTGGCACAGGTCGGGGGCCACCCCAGGGACGCTGCAGGGCTGACCTCCAGGTGGAGGACAGACAGGGCTGGACAAGCTTTGGGGTCTCTCCCCATGGCTAAGGGTCTGCAGCACAGGGGCCTGCGTCTCCCTGGGGTGGGCTGCGCCGGCTGCCAGTGGCCACCCCCGGCCCGGGGAGGGCGCGGGGGGCCTCCGCCCGGGGGGGGGGCGCCCCGCCTGCCAGTGGCCACTCCTGGCCAGTGGAGGCAGCTGTGGTCCTCAGCACGCTTTGTGGGGGCTCCCGCTGCAGCTGGGCCTGGGCTCACGGCTCATTGCGCAGTCAGATGGCCCAGGCCGCCAGCTGAGCCGCCTGGCTGGGGAGGCTCCTGGCGGTTGGCCCCGAGCATGGCCCTCTGCTGGGCTAGGGAAGGAGCCTGGGTAGGTGGAGCTGGCTCCCACAGGGGCTGGGACGCTCTCCTGCTGCCCTCGGAGACAGCCTGCCCTGGATCCCACTGGCCCGGGACCAGTGCTGCTTCCTCCAGGCATTGTGGGGGCCGTTTTCCTGGTCTCGCAGCGGTACGCCGCAGGGTCCCCGCTCCCGCCGGCTGCAGAAACATCAGCGGTGGGTTTGCTTGTATTTGTCCAACGAGGCGGCCACTGGGAGGCCATCCTGGGGGTTGGCAGCAGCATCAGGCAGCGCGGAGCGGAGATTTGGGGGAGTTCCAGCTCCTCCCATAGAATCCCTCCCCTTCCTTGTCACTCCCAAAGGAGATGAGCTGATTTAGAGGCGGGGCCGCATGGCTCTGACTCCAGCATGTCCAGGACGAGTGGCCTCAATCTCCCCATGCCTCAGTTTCCTTCCGGGGACGGTGCAGCGCTGGTCCCTCAGGGCTGTTGGTGAAGGCACCAGGGACGGCCTGCAGGGACAGCCACATACGGTGAGTGGCCTGCGAGGCAAACTTACATGACAGAGGCCAGGTGGCGGGGCCTGGGGGCCTCTGTCAGCAGAGGCGGGTGGGCTGTGGTCTGCAGGCTGGCTCCCGGCAGCGGGATGCCCACAAAAGGGACCTGCCTCCCGGAGGCTCGGCTGTGCCTTCACTGCCGAACGAAGGGGAAATCCTTCTCTTCTCTGCGTCTGGATGATTTATGAGGCCGCGTCTGAGAAGTACTTGAACTTCTTAGAAGAAAAGCATTCTATCGACATGAGGAAGTGTGTTTCTAAATCATGTTCTTGGGCTGCTTTTCCGAGTCTTGGTGCCCAGAGGGCAGTGAGGCTGTGAGGGGGTCATTTCTGGTGGGCTGAGGGGCCGCCGGGGCCAGGTGGAGGAGGCAGCGATGCACAGGCCAAGCCGCCGGGAGCTTGCGAGGTGCGGTGCTCTCCACGCACTCGCGGGGCCGAGTCATGCCTGTCCCTTAGCGGGAGGGCAAGCAGCACCTGTCCAGCCTGTGGGGCTCTCTGCGATGGTTGCGATGCTGTTTTCTTCCCATTTACTTATTTCTGCAGAGACAGCGACCCCGACACCCCCAGGAGGGTCTTCATGCCATGACCCCTGCAGCTCCTGCAGCAGGACCGTGCGAGGTAGGTGTGCCCTGGCACACAGGGCGGCCTTGGATGTGCCCTCGGACCCTCACGTGCCGGGCACACGACTGTTGAGCCACCGCCTGGCTGGCTGACGCTGTTCTGGGGACCAGTGATCAGACACAGGGCAGGTCTTGCCCTGACGTAGGGTCTCTGGCTGTGCCTGGATGAGCCTGCTCTCCTTCCAGGAGCGGAGTCCAGCTGGAGAGAAAGCAGCCCCTTCACCCCCGTCCTCCAGTGCCCAGTGCCCAGCGCCCCAGAGAGGCTCTTACGGAACTGCTGGCAGAGGCCTGCTGCCTTGGTGGCCACTCTGGGTCATCCCTGGGGACCTGGGCCCTCCTCTTGGCCACTGACTCACAAGAGCTGCCCCCCTGAGCCTGGCGGGCCCTGGCTCAGGCTAAAGGTTGCAGCAACCGTGGGTGGACCCCAGCACCTCCTAACCAGCAGCCGTGCTGGCCACGCTCGTCCCCAGGGTGCGGGTGAGCCTAGTCCGGTGAGATCTGAGCCGCTGGCTCCCTCACAGCCAGACCTGAGGCAGCACGCTGTATGTGGAGATGTCCTGAGCGTTTTATCCAGGCCCCGTTCCTTTGTGCCCTGCTGACTGTGCTGTGCTATTTCTGCTTGTATTACAGACCCAGCTCCGGTCCCAAGGTATCCATTTGCAAAGGCAGGCTCCTGAGTGCGCCATTATCTCCTGCAGGTGGGCACTGCCACCCTGGCATTCCCGAGTCCCGGGAAAGGAGCCCCAGCTCGGCTCCAGATGGGACCGTTTGTGCCGAGCCTCGGAAACGGCCATGTGCCTGCCCCGCCCCAGGGCAGAAGGCTGATGGGAGAGTGACCAGAAGGAGGACTCCGGGTGGGGAGAGGGAGGGCCGGACAGGCGTGGCCTGGGCTGTGACTTCAGTGAGGCTGTTGGTAGCTGGAGCCCACGGGGAGGCTTTGCTGAGCCCAGGGGTGGCCATAGAGGCACAGACTCAGCAGACACTGCTGCCCCTTCTCCCCTGTGCCACGTGGTGCCCACGTCATCTGGGCTTCCTGTGAGTCCAGTGACGTGGCCCTCGTTAATGGTGGGTGCTGCAGGACGCGGCCCCACTGCTGCTCCCTGGACGACTGCATCCTGGTCGGGGCTTGGGGGCATGGCTCAGACCACCAGCTGGGCACTCCTGGGGCCTGGGGGCCGGACAGCATGGATTGTGCTGGACTTTGGGTAGACCCTCCCTGCAACCTCGTACAGGCCTCGGAGCCAGGGCCAGACAGAGGGCTCAGCCGGAGCTCTGTCCTCCAGGAGGTCCTGGAGCCCGGGGCCTGCCCTCGCCAGGGAGCTGCACACTCTTCTTTATAAAAAGGTTTGCCAGAGGGCACATGCACTCGCCAGAGACAGACAGACACAGAGAAAGGGATACACGGCCACAGCACAGGTCCTCCCTCTCCGTGTCTCCACCTGACGGGGTCTGGGCTCCACGTTGCACCCTCGGCCGGCCCGGGCAGCTGCAAATTCTATCTCCAGTGACTGCAGATGGGGCACCCGCGGCCGAGGGGAGAGGCAGTGTCAGGCTGCGGGCTGTGGGGAGGTTGGGTACTCACTTGAGAGGTCTCTGCCCACGCCCAGGGCCAAGCCGTCTTTGATCCACAGAACGAAGCCATCGTACTCGGGAATAGCACACAGCAGCGTCACCGGCTGTCCAGACACCACCACCTGGTCTTGGGGCTGCTGGCTGAAGGAGTAGACCTGGCCTAGGAGGAGAGAGCACGGTCAGGGATGTGGTCAGGGACGGGCAGGGACACGGTTAGGGATGTAGTCAGGGTCAGCCAGGCATGATCAGGGACATGGTCGGGGACGCAATCAGGGACAGGCAGGGACGCGGTCAGGGATGTGGTCAAGAATGTGAGCAGACATGGCGCGGGCTCCTCAGGCCCTGGCAGCCAGTCTGAGGTCGGCCCCCGCACCCCTGCGTGCCTGCCTGCTGCTCCCTCCCTCCCTGCTGCGTCTCAGCTCCAGCCACGGCTCACCTGCCCCTCACACCCTGTGAGTGTCCAGCCCCGGCCCTGCCCCTGGGGCCTGCCAGTCCCTCCTCACGGGTGCCCTCCGTAGGCCACTTGCTAGGTGCACTGTCCCGGGGCAAGCAGGTGTAGGGGCGAGGCCTCCAGCTGGAAGTGGTCAAGGGCGGCAGGGGTAGGGAGGGGCGCGGCGTGGTTACACCTGAAGGTCAGAGCCACCATGAGATCATGGCAGTGGTGTCCCCCCTGCTGGGAGGGCAGGGGTGGAGGGTGGCCGAGGGTGCTGCGGCCACCCCACGTCCTCTGGCCCTTTGCTGTCCTAGCAGATCCTGCCAGCCTTGCTGTTGCTGGGGTGTGAGCAGGGCCCGCCCTCCAGCCCACGCCAACACAGGCGCAGAGCCGCGGAGGCTGGGCCAGCCCACGCCAACACAGGGCGCAGAGCCGCGGAGGCTGGGCCACACCTGACTGCCCCGTGCGTGTGGAGGCTCGTGGGGAGGCCCGCTCCGCTCAGAGGCTCGAACCACGAGCCATTGATAGTGGCCCCTCACCACTCGCAGCAGGCACTGCTGTGTCCCCATTTCCAGAGGAGGTGACAAGGCCTGGACACGTGGGACACAGCAGTAGTAGCTGTGCTTCTTTAGGGTTTTGCCATAGGGCGTGTGTGCTCGAGAGAGAGAGAGAGAGAGAGAGAGAGAGAGAGAGAGAGAGGTCACTCCCCGGGGATGGCCACGTCGCAGTCCCTTCTCTTCCTGGGATATTCTGGGTGCGCACATGTGACTGTACAGTTTTCAAGCTGCCGGTCTGGGTCTTGAACTGCAGTAGGCTGTGTGGGAGTCCAGCGCCTTCACTGCCCCGCCACCCGATGATGCCCGTGCTTCCTAATTACCACATGCACCCTGGCTCTAGGGCCCTAGTCATGGCAGCGACATGCACAGTCGGGACAGGGTGGGTGCACCGTCCAGGCAGCCGCCGGAGCAGGGCCGGGGCTCCAGCCCAAGGCCTCCTGGCTCCGCCGGCCCCTCTCAG